TCTTACTATTCTCAGGCTTTTTATTTAATCGTTTACCAATTAAATTTCAACCCATTTCAGAGTTGTTTCCTTGTCAATACATGTCACAATTTTATTGGGTGTGCAATATGTACATATTTGCACAAAAAGTGAATGGCATATTTAGATTTCTCAAACTGCAAATTACCTTTACATCAAGAACAAAAATATTCAGACTTTCAGCAGCATTGCCATTAGATTAGATGAACCAATACATGTACATGTAGGTATTGGCTACCCCATTACTAATTGCATATTTCTACCAATTATAAGAATATTCATTTTGTAAAAAAAAACTAAATTCCTATTATGTATTTAACACAACCGCTTCCTATTCCTGTCATATTTCCTCTAAAAACAATGTGACCTTTTTTTTGTTTGATCTTATCTTGGTATTGTGAAGATAAACAGTATATGGACAAGGATCACAGAAGACTGAATGCTTTCAAAGTCCAAAATAATTATCTGTTCAACCAAAATATTTTGTCATATGAAGTTTCTTTACATGACGTTCAGACCAGAAACAAGGGAAACGCTCTCGGTGGTCTCGCCTGCATTACGCAATTCGATATGATGTCAAATTGATGTTGGAACATTATTTATAGGCAGGATTGCCCATTAGCAGGCCCCCCCAAAAAATGAAATCCTCTGAATATACTCAGCATTTTGAAGTGAATATTGACTAAGAATCATCAAAAGAATTATTTACAATTAATTGTACCACGATCGATAACTTGAATGAAATATGAACAAATTAATAAAAAACAGTGATTATTAATTCTCATATTAAGTTGTGAAAACATAATCTAAGTCTACTGACCTAAAATGACCTTTGACCTTGTGACCTGGAATTTGTGCCATATGATTTGTGATACTTGATAACCCTTGGGTACAAGTTTCATGGAATTTGAACAAACTATTTTGAAAATATGCTAAAAATTCAAAATCTTAATGTTGATGCCACAACAAAGTCTAAGTTTGTTGACCTAAAATGACCTTTGACCTTAACTTAGTAACCTGAACTACTCACATGATTGGGGATACTTGATAACCCTATAGTCCAAGTTTCATTGACTAAGAACTTATACTTTCAAAATTATATCAAAAATTCAAAAACTTAACCTTAGGTTAAGTTTTCGATGATGATGCCACAACATAGTCCAAGTCTGTTGACCTAAAATGACCTTTGACCTTGACTTTGTGACCTGAAATTCTACTCACATGATTGGGGATACTTGATAACCCTATAAGTCATGTGTATTGTTTGTTTTCACTCACTAGGATAATATTGGTGATAAAAACAAATTAAATAACAGATTTTTAATTTTTAAATCATGATTAAAAAGACGGAATATTATTACTTTTTGTTTTTTCTAGCTTTGCTTTGTAAAGCTGAACTCCCCCATCAAAGACAATCTTCATGCGAATGTTCTCATTTCACATGTGAGAATGGGACATGGAAGGTTTGTATAGTTCACTTCAGGTCAAGAGTAAGTCATGCCCAGCAAGGGACATTTTAATAACAATTTACCTCTTTTTTTTTACCAAAGGAATGTGCTTAGCCTCCAGGGGAATGTCTCACAAAGATCCTAAGTTGAACTTATCTCTAAGTTGGACTTAGCAATTATGGAAAGCCATTAGCATCCTTGAAAATATTTTGTAAAAGTTTTTTAAAAATTTTAAAAGGCATAAAATGTTGATTCAAATCATTCATATTTTCTATTATCAAGGAGATTTCTTGTTCTTGATGTGGAATTTATGAAAAGTCTAAAATACTTCAATTTTTGCTTTTGAATATATTTCATTATAAGGCTACAAATGGTTCTCCATAATATTTAAGTCCAACCTAGAGTTAAGTCTGACTTACAATCTTTGTGAAACACCCCCCAGATCTGTCCAAAGCAATAGCTTTGAAATGCTGGCTACATTATTCATCTACACTGTACATACAAATTGTACATATATCCAAACCAAAGTATGTAATATATGACTGAAAGTCCATTTGTTATAACTAGTGCTGTAACATCACGGATATCTCCAATTCCGTTTAACCGCCAGTCAAAACCGGACGGTTTTCGGTTAAACGATTTAAAAAAATAAAAAAAAAACAAAAAAAAAAAACGATTTTTTTTTTTTTTTTTTACCGACTCTGTCGGCAACTTTCATTTAACTGCGAGGTGCATTTAAAGGGGCCAATTTGTGCTTGTGAACTTGTCACAAATAATAGTAACAATGTTGTTTTTAGAAGAATGTGTAAGATCATTAATGTAAATTAAAAACAGTAGAGGACCTAGGATAGAACCTTGTGTAAAAGTTGGATGAATTATTATTATAAACTACATATTGAGATGATGAGATCTATTACAAAGATTACTTTCAAACCAAGATGACAGACAAATTGGAGTGTTGTTCTAGTTTTGGAGTGGTGAGTCAACACACAGATTACTGAGCTGGGAGACATTGCCAGGCATAGTGCCAGGTGGAGGGGCATAAATCGAAACTTTAAAAAAAAAAAAAAAAAAAAAAAAATATAAAAAAAAACAAAACAAGGGAAACGCTCTCGGCGGTCTCGCCTGCATAACGCAATTCAATATGATAAACCAGAACGTCAATGACGTAGCGCTCATCCGCATCTCACAACAAATATCGTAAATTTTATGTGGTACACTTTTGAACTGGTCAAAAAATAGAAATTTGATGCCCTGGAAGGGACATAATTTCATTTCATTTGCATAAAGTACCATAAATAATCAATGGAGCAAAATCTCACAATTCTGTGTAGAAGTTTATTGTTCCAAATTTAGCTCTACCAGATAAGGCAAAATCGGTCAAGAAATGAGGGAAAAGAAGCAATTTTTGTTATTTTTGGAATAAATTTGCATAAATTACTATAATTAATTAATGGAGAACAATTTCAAAATTCTGTGTAGAATTTTAGTGTACCAAAGTTAGCTCTACGATATAAAGCAAACCAAATCAAAATCGGTCGAGAAATGAAGGAGAAGAAGCCTTTTTTGTGATTTCGAATAAATTTGCATAAATTAGCATAGATAATGAATTTCACGATTCTGTGTAGAAATTTAAATCCCCTCCTAGCCCTATCAAATGAAACAATCAGAATCAAAATCGGTTGAAAAATAACGAAGAAGAAGCATTTTGAAAATCTTAATGTTGATGCCACAACAAAGTCTAAGTTTGTTGACCTTAAATGGCCTTTGACCTTAACTTAGTGACCTGAAATTCTACTCACATGATTGGGGAGACTTGATAACACTATAGTCCAAGTTTCATTGACTAAGAACTTATACTTTCAAAATTATATCAAAAATTCAAAAACTTAACCTTAGGTTAAGTTTTCGATGATGATGCTACAACATAGTCCAAGTCTGTTGACCTGAAATGACCTTTGACCTTGACTTTGTGATCTGAAATTCTACTCACATAATTGGGGATACTTGATTACCCTATAGTCAAAGTTTCATTGACTAAGAACTTATACTTTAAAAATTATACCAAAAATTCAAAAACTTAACCTTAGGTTAAGTTTTTGATGTTGACGCCGTCGCCGTCGCCGTCGCTGTCACCGGAAAAGCGGCGCCTATGTCTCGCTTTTTGCTACGCAGGCGAGACAAAAACGAAACCGTCCAATTGAAAACAGAATCCGCCATGGGCGGTCGGATACCGGACGGTTAAACGTTTGACTACAGCACTAGTTATAACTGTGAAATCGTCAGCCAAAATGCAATGTACATGAACTGAACTGTACATGCATATTAAAGAATATTAGGAATTAACATGTAGGAGTGAAACATTCATAAAGTGTTGAAATTGTACATCATTATGCATAGGGTGATGTAGGCTAATAGCTTGAATTTACTCCAATGGGAAAAGAAACTGAACCCAACCTTGGGGTACAGCTGAAGGAAAGCGAATCAAAACAACCATTATCAGTTGATACACTTTTAGACAGGGTTTGAAGTCTCCATACAGTATTAGCTAGGTGCATGAAAGACATGGTAGAGCTCTTCTTTGATACGACCATTGTCAAAGCCAAGGGAGTTCGTACCTTGATTGTATACTACTCAAGATGAAAGCAGAAATCTCAGAGAAATAGACTGGGGTAAATTTGAACGAAATCAGACAAACAATGAGAAAGTTCTGAATTTGTGAAAGTTTGTAATCACTGTAGTTATGGAGTCTACCGTATTCAAATTGGGTGGATCGGTCATGTCTCTGTGATAGAGTGCCGGAAAGCCTTCCCATTTGTTCCAGCCCACAAAAAGACTACAATTTCAGTTTTTCAAAAATGTAGAGGACCTTAAATGTAAGCAATATTCTAAACCTAATATATTTTGAGCAGTGACTAAAGGGAGAAGGCACAGTAGGGGAAAGAAGAAAAATTACCGGTAATGGTATTCTTGTACGCAACTATCTGCAACTACATGTACGTCATGACCCACTCACCAAACTGCCAATTTAAGAGTCATAATAATAGAGTTCTTATATACCTAACAATCATTTAACTTTCTTTTTATTGGTCAAATTTATTTCACACTTTCCCCATTCTGTTTATCTTATTTTTCTTTCATACATATTAACTTGTTACAAGAGTTGGATTGTCCTTTAGGATGGGAGGGCATTAATTACCCGGTATCTCATAATTTTAACAAAGTTAACTCCCTTCTGGTTCCAAACAAGTGACAAGCATATTATTTACATGTACATTGTACATATTTAACTTTGAACTCATACTGTACATTTCAGGAAGCTTGATTTTGGCTAAAGGAAGTTTTAAAACACATCACGTGTGAGGTTTAATAATGAAACCTCATGATTGAGGCTTGTGCACGCACCACCAGCACAAAATCTCATGAACACAACCATGTTCAAACATGGACCTACATTACAAACACATACATGTACATACATGTACAGTACATGTAGTGCCTCATGAGTACAGCCTCATGAGTAGCATTACTTACCTCATCGTGTGTGAGAGCATATATCGACAACAGTCCTCCTACAAATCGGATGTTGGTTTCAAATACAGATACATCGCTTGACTGTAAGAAAGAAAGAAAGAAAGAAATAATTATCACAGATGTAAACTGCAGAACATAATTAAACATTATTTACAATGAAATATGTACAAACTATAAAACACACATGTCAGACATATAATCAAAACCCATTGCAAAAATCTTTAATACTGTTTGCATTTTTTGGTTGAGGTTGCTTGTTTCTAAGACATACATGTACAGTATACATAAATCTGAAATAGTGTCAGCAGAATTCCCTGCCTTGAAAGAGTTATAATCTTTCTTTTATGTTTCCTTGCTTTTCTCTAAGGGCAAGGAAACCATCTACCGGCCGGGTCAACTTGTATTTACTGCATAGAGCTGGTATGTACGTGAGGCAGGCCCATGTAATGAGGCCAAGATGCTGTAATGAAGTAATTTAACAAACAGCTAGGTATTACATTGGAGGAGACTACATGCTCAATGTATAGCTAAACACGGGTTTGGGGGGGGGGGGGGGATGTACAGTAGATAAAAGTATTGCAACATCTTTTTGTGAAGAACCTTTTTATGTTTTTTTGTTTGCAGAGGGTCTCTAATACACACAAAATGCAATTTCCTTTAAAGGTACTACATGTATGTCCCTTTTGCAGCCAACCTCAAATGCTGTAGAACTTTGCAGGAATTATGAATATGTTATGTATGTCCTATCTGTGAAATTTAAACGTTAGCAGTGTCCTCATATTCAAATTATGCAAGGAAAACTGTTTACTTGCTAGACTTCACTGTCAGACACTATTGAGTGAGTGACTGGCTTTTTTTCTTCTTTGGTAATAACATTACATGAAAAGAGTTGTAAAGGGTACATGAGCATTTGTCTACATCAATAACCCACTTCTTGTGATAGCCAAGATTAAACTGATTGAATCTTTGCGCAGCATAAAACGTATGACCATTCGGTACAATTGTCTGAAAATCAAGACTATTACTTTTGGGCTCTATAGCCCTAAAGTCGATTTGACAACTAATAGTCCTTATTTTCCCACTTGAAGACATTTTCAAGCCCCACCTTTTTTAGGGAAGTTCTAAATTATTATTATCTTTCAAATGCAGTTGGAATTTAACTTTTTCATTTTTTTGGCCTGCAAATGGGACATAGTACCTTTAAAAGTCTGTTTTCCCCTTTCTTTTTGTTTGTTTGTTTGTTCATTTTGGCTACCTTAGCTCTTTGTGTGGTTACCAGAGCTATTCAAACTGTTCCAGTGCTATACATGTACTTCCATGCATTTCATTGCTGATGTGAAAATTAAATCACAAGCAGTCTTAAAATTATGAAATGAACACACCTGCATGCTCTATCACAATAATAACAACACCAGCAACCACAAAACAACAGCGGCAGCGGCATCAAAACTATATCCAATATGCAAATACATGTACCATATTTAACGGTGTATAAACCGCACCTTTTTGCCGCCGAAAAAAAATCAAAGTCGGGGGTGCGGTTTATACACGGTACACCAAAATTTTTTTTTTTTTTTTTTTTTTAAATGGCGCTATGCATGGCAATGTATCCCAGCTCAGTAATTGGTGTGTTGACTCACCACTCGGAAACTAAAATAACACTCAAATTTGTCTGTCATCTTGGTTTGAAATTAATCTTTCTGATAGATCTCAATATGTAGTTTATAATAATAATTCCTCCAATTTTTCTTCTATTACATATGATGTACCACAAGGTCCTATCCTAGGTCCTCTACTGTTTTTTTAATTTTCATTAATGATTTACACATTCAGCTGCACCTCGCAGTTAAATGAAATGCCTTTCCGCGTGGGTTTTTTAACACGGACCCGGCAAAAAAAAAATCGGCAATTTTTTTTTTTTTTTTTAAAGGGCGAAAAAGAGGGGTGCGGTTAATACACGAGGGCGGTTTATACAACGTTAATTACGGTATGTTCAAGTGAATATGACAAGGTGAGTAAAAATATAAATGATCATGTAGAAATGTGCTGAAGGATAAGTCAACATTAGGTATTATTGTCATCCTTTCTCAGTGATGCCACTGATAACATACATGTAAATATGAATAGATATGTTCATGTACAGTATGTCAATGGTATTCATGCAACATAAGAGGCCTACATGTACATGTACATTTCTCAAAGAAAATAAGGCCCATTAATCACACATTTCAGAATGTGTAATGTTTATTTAATTTGTTCAATTTGATACTGGTATTTTAATATAATAATGATACAATACAATAATAACAATAGTGGGTTCTTGTATACTTAGCGATCATGTTTGTCAGACTCGACACTCCCAGTGCTCTACAATTACAGATATAATATATATGCTTTTCATGACTTGTCTGCAGACTTAATGGGAAAATTAAAAAATCAGCTGAAATCTACTGACCAGAGGAGAGTAATGCCTGATATCAATGTTCACTAAACTTTGCATTCTAACAAAAAAATATGTACCTCGATACATTTACACATGTACATGTACAATCTGGATGAAGGAGATGCACGGATGTGGAAAGCAGTTTCTATTAATTAAATTCCGACTACATATACATGTACATTTACACACATGTGTTATCAGCTTTGAGGGGAGCTTGGCTATACTTGCTCCATTGACTTGGCAAGCGTTGCCATATTGATTTCCAGCTAAATAAATATATTCTGTATTTGAGGTTCTAAGGCTTTGACAGTGAAGGAAAGGGTATCATAATGGAGCATTGATTGAAAGTGTAAGAAATGGATGTACAGTAGGAGAGAAACAGAGAGAGAGAGAGAGAGAAGAGGGGGGGGGGGGGGGGGAGTCAGAGCGAGGGTTGGAAATTGTAAACAGAAATAAGAAATAGAGAATCAGAAAATTAGAAAGAGACACAGGAATAAAGCAGATGAAAGAATGATTACTGTAAGTGTACTGAAACACCCCTACTCCGGCCCTCCCTGGTATTGAAGAGAATTTAAAGGGCAACCCAACCCTTGCATTAAAGGTACATGTACATGTAATACAAAGTTTTGGTATGGGGTCATGAATTTGGTTCAAATGAACATATTGGAAGCATTTGCGATTTTAAAATATACAATGACTGTGGTCGCGGTTGGTAAGGAATTAATAGTATTCAAATAATAACAAAACTGAGAGTGAATATATTCTACAATGAAAAAGTGGCAATATTTTAGCTTGATGACCATGTTTTTTTCTCTCAGAATGTCAGACAAATTCATTTCTAGATCAGTTTATGCATGTGTCAATATCTAAAAAGGGTGATGTTTCTGCAAAGTAAACTGAAGGTCCACATCCTTTAAATGGTAATGCAATATAATATGCAGGCCAACACATTTATATACACAAATCTTATTCATAGGATTTGGAAACACATTGTGTATTTTTCAATAAACTTTATTTTAGGTTTAGATAACGAGAGTCAGACTCGACTAGCACATTTGCTATTTTTTACTCTATTTTACCATCGGTCGATCACAAACTCATATACATGTACATGTATATGTATGCCCATATAGTCTGAGGTCACCAACATATTCTAAACAGGAAGGAAGAGATAAAACCAAACAGCTTTCTGATCAGTAAAAGATCAAAGTTTGTCATGAAATTCATCTTGCAAAAGGCCAGCGTATATTCATACGTACAAATAATTATGTGTAGTGCATAGATCATGCATGTACGTAACTGTGAATTACGTGTGGTTTAAATTATTCTAAAGCAACAAATCAGAGTCGCAATTTAATGGCCCTGAAACACACCGAATTATCAATTACAAGAGTGGCTGACTCAAATTCATCCCTTGCATGTACATTGTAGTAGGTCCATGCATGTACTATTTACTTATTTTTGTATAATGGTGGGGGTGGGGAGGGGCGGGTGTCGCTGAACATCCCTTCTCTCACAGGCTGTCTACATACATGGTGTACATTGACTATCCCCATGCCAACGGTTCCATGCATGCTGCTTCTCTTTAATAGTACACATTGGCCGTATATTATGTGCCATGATATGTACAGTACATGCCTACTGACTGTACTAATATGTATGGTACATTCTGCATCTAGGCCGATACTACTGGATCTAAACACTGCTCAGTATTACGTAGTACATACATGTACCAACATACAGGTAGAAGCTATGTCCTACAATGTAAGAATGTGTAAGAGTGCACTTCAGGTCTACGTACGCGTGCTGAAAATAGAAGGGGCATCCACAATCAATTACACATAGTTTCCTGTCCTACTAGAGTGAGAGCGAGCTAGCTAGCTAGGGTAAGGAAGACACAGTCAGCCCAGCCGAACCTGATCACGTGCTCATGGCCTGTACCAGGCATGTGTCTGCTATAGGAAAGGCTTTGCAGGTGGCTGTATTAATCACTGCTTGTGATGGATATTACTTGTGATCCTAGACTAAAGTAGTAGTAAATGTACAGTTTAGTATACTGCAGACAGTGGACGGAGCTAAGGGCAGTGCTGGAGGGAGTGTGCATGGGGGTGAGAGGATGTGACACCCCTACACATACCGGTATTCAAATGTTGTTTTATAGCAAATCTCAAATTTTCTGCTGCAAATTGACTAAAATTTGGTATAACCATAGACCGAGGTCTATGGTATAACATCCCTACTATTTCAAAAGGGTGTAGCACTTCCCTGCATAGACGTACAGTATGTCTTAATGTACATGTATGTATGCAATGTAGGCCTGCATAATAATAATAATGGCTTCTTATATACATGTAGCTCTCATGGCACTTACATGTATACTGTACATCACTACCCTGGTTATAGCCGAGGTGCAAAAGTAACTAGTGCTCAAGCATATCATGTACCTATTAATACCTTGTATGTGTGGGTGTAATTGGGTTTTTACAGACGTGTATCAATCAGATATGATTATTTACGTCTGGGGATCAACTTTTAACGTCAACATCAGAAAGAAGTGACTCAGTATCGAACCTGCGTCCTCGGCTGAATCAGTATTTAACTTCCATTGTTAGCTGGATTACAGGCGCACACCACTACG